GACTCGATGGCACCTGACAACAACAACATTGTCATCTTAGGTCATGAACTAGCAGTTTCCGCTTTACTAATGGAAATAGAGTCATTAGTGCCATTAGAATCTAACCAGACTTGAGAACCAATTCAGAAAAGTCATTCTTAAGAATTTGTTTCCTTAGAACCACTTTTGGTATCAAATGTTTATTCTAGATTCTCTAGAGGGATAAAACCAGTGAAGCATATATAGATATAAAAGAGAATGTCAAAAGTTTATGGGAAAATCCCATTATCTTCTAATCTCATCTTCCCATAAACTTTTTAAAGCCCCCTCATACATAAAAATGGACTTTCAGGAAATGTCTTAGGCAATTGTGGGGCTTGGCAAGTCCAGATTTCATGAGTCAGATGACCAAGGCTGGGCCACATAGTTACAAGGTCTGCTGAACTCGAAGTCTGCATGACAGGTAACAGACCAGAGGTCTCTGATGATTTACAACATTGTGTACTGATACATCCCAAACCCTGCAGGTCAGGAAACAAACTAGAGGCTGCTGCTGGCTTATGTCCAAGAACCAAAGGTTAGATGAAAGATGCAGAGAGTAAGAGCGAGAGAAAGAGGGAGCTTTGCCAGAACATCCATTTATATACCAAATGCAGGCCATATCCTTTCCCACCGACTGACAACTTACATCAGATCACAAAATGGAAAGGAATTACATAGTGTCTGCCACACTACTGAGAATCATAGCCTAGTCAAGTTGACACATAGCATAAGCCAGCACACTCCCCCAAACAGTTTCATTACTCCAAGTTACTGGGAATAGTAAATTTGAAAGTGGGAGATGAAGCTTTTCTTGATACAGATGATGCGCAGTAGAATGCATTGTTAAGGGTGCAAGTTTACGTCAGCACTCATCTAGACCTGTGGAAACCTTTACTCTGGGTATAAACAAAACAGAAGAAATTTAGGTTTCTGTATCTTCAGTGTCCTGCGTGACTCTGATATGTAGCTAAATTTGAAAAATACTGGTCTATTGCTCAGGCAGTGCCTTGGGCTATGGTTACTATTACATCAGGAACAGACATGTTCGGTCTTGGCTCCTTTGTGTTCCTTTAACAGAAATGTTTTCAATATTGTACTGTGGACCTAGATCAAAGCCATTCTGAAATGTAACCTTATTGCAAATAAAGAATATTAGGATAAAAATTAGAACTATGGGAAATTTTTAGGAATCAGACATGGAGGTATAGGCATAAAATCTGATTTTTTTTAGTTATATTGAAAAAAGACTTAATGTTTTCATTCTTGCATAGTCCCAGTAATATTTTATTCAAGATGCCAGTTTTAAACTTAGATGTTTTTTCTGATTATGATGGATGCCCATTTGTGATCATTGTGGCTGAAAAGAAATATAAAAGACAGACTTTATTGGCCATGCCAAACTAAACCAAACCTACTGCCAGGAATTTATTATGACTCATTGCTGTTGTTATTCAGTGCTGTTGAGTTGGTTCCGACTCCACAGCGAGCGAGCCCGTTCAGGGTTTCTGAGGAGTGACTGGTGAGCTTGAACTGCCAGCCTTGTGGTTCAAAGTGACTTTGGAATCTAGCGCATTAACCCGCAACACCACACCAGGACTCCTACTACTCATAGCAACCCTATGTAATGTTTATGGGGACAAAGATGACGTCATCTTTGTCTCACAGGACCCACCAACCTTACTGATAACAGCCTAACACCTAACACACTGTGTGATGGGAAGACCAGTAAATTTGGTATAAGTAAAGCAGTACATTCAAACTTATTATACCTAAGAAACTACAACTAGTGTAAAAAGTTAATAGTTTGCACATTTAACAACCATTTATTGAGCATTGTAGGTGCTATAGATATAAATAGTAGTAATATGCTATTGTGAGCAAAGGAGTTCTGATAGTGAGCTGAAACCAAACCAGACCCTCTGGCATGTACTCAATTCTGACTCGCCGAGACGCAGTAGGAAAAAGTAGAACTGCTCTCTAGGGTTTCCAAGGCTGTAAATCTCTTTCTGCTGTGGAGCAGCTTGTGGGTTCAAACCTCTAACCTTTCAGTTAGCAGCCGAACACTTAACCCACTGTACCACTAAGACTTTTTGCAATAGCAAAACACAGAAATCACAAGTTTTTGCTTTCAGAAACCTTATATTTTAATGATGTGATACAGGATACAATCAATTATTCACATTACAGGTTGTAACTGATATGAAGGAACTGGAGACTAAGGTGAAGTAAGTGGGAGAATCTCATTTAGTTCTAATGAGATCTGAAGGAGGTGTTAACAGAGAAACATGAAAGAGCAGTTAAGCCTTCACAATAGAATGTGCAAAGGTCCTGGTGTGTGTGATCAAGGAGAGGGGTAGGGTGATGAACCAGCTAGGAGCTACAGATGGATATGAAGTGTAGAGGGTGGGGCATGATCCAGCTGACTCAAGCAGAGTCTGGGAAACATTTTTATTGAAGAAGCAATAAAAAGAGAGATGATAGTAAGAGAATAATAATAAACAGCAGTCAGATATAAAAAGCCAATCAGCAAAAACAGGTGAGAGCTAGTTTGGACCCAAGTTCGTGAATCACAGAGGCTGACAAATCTAGTTCTTAGATTTATGGTCCTCACAGGCTGGACCTCCCACTGAAGCCTGCCTGGCTCCTTGTGTAGGAAATGGTAATCCATAAGAAGGCAGGAATGGTACTGCAGTAGATCTTGAACTAAGGCCCCTGTTTTCCTGAAGAAGGCACAAGATTTGCTTTAAGTCCTGAAGTGTCTCAGTCTCTTTCTTCAGCTGCCTTGACCTTTCTTCAGATTGATAAATTTCATCTTCTAGTTCTATGACAAGAAGAAATAAAATTTCAGATTATTCAGTGGTTTTATTAGAAACAGTACACTATTCCTAGCCTGTCTCACTTGCAAGTCATAACACATAGAGCTGTGCCCCAGATGATGCTATAGAGGTATTGTCACAGTGTGGATGAAGCATCCTGGTTTGGTCCTACTGTCCCTCCAGAGAACTGGTAGGACGTATAGGTACAATACAAATATGAAAGGAGCCTGAGAGACAGAGGCTTAAGTAAACAAAGAGATTTTAATGAGGCACAGCATATATCTTGCAGGGATGAGAACGGGCATTGAATTACTGGTTTCACTTTTATGCTGTGTTCCTTTAGGGTAGGCCACAAGTCTCCTGATTATTGCCTCCTGATTCCTACGTTTTCCTATTCTAATTTAGAGCCTGTAAGTGCTCATTTCTCCCTGGATCTGATGTACTTCTTACCAATTACATGAGTCTGTAATACGACTTATTGTAGTGGTATAATGATTAGTTCCTTGGAAACACCAGACCAGTCTTATTTTACATTTCTGATTTTGGTGAAAGTCTCCTGTTTTATTTTTCCTTTTACTAGACTTTCCTGACAGGTCAGGTTGTTTTCTGCTTTCTTTGTGGTTGATCTGTGGTTATACTCTTATTCCCTGTTCTGTCTAACATGATGGAGAAAGTATAAGGAATCCAGGGCCTAGTTGTTGTTGTTGTCATGTGCCGTGGAGTCGGTTCCAACTCATAGCGACCCTATTACAGGGTTTCCGAGGCTGTAAATCTTTATAGGAGCAGAAAACCTCATCTTTCTCCCATGGGACAGCTGGTAGTTCTGAACTGCTGATCTTGAGATTCGCAGCCTGAATTCGCTGCACTACCACAGCTCCTTCCAGGGCCTAGTTAGCAGTAGTTAATTCTTTTTTTAAAGTTTTTATTCTGAATTGTGTGGGCTTACATGGGAGAACATCAGTTTTACATTCATCCTACCATATTTCGTTTCATTGCAATGATTACAATCCCCTCCATGCATCATCCAATAACCAAAGGGTACACCCCACATGCCTGCCCCTAGGCCGTCAACACACAGCCCCTCTCCCTCCCTGAGTCCAGTGTCCCCAGACACTCCATATGTCCACGTCATTATCTCTGCCTCCATCTCTGGAGTCACTGCTTCTCTGGGTAGGGTCCTGCACTCTATACTCTTCTCACTTGACGGTCCCAGGGACCTCTGCTCCTTGACTGCAAAATCAGTCACTCCCCTTCTTTTGTTACAAAGCATCAAAAACATCTAGCTTTACATTTCCGACCCTCACAGTCAGTCCTGATGGCAATTATTCACTGTTGTACCACTTATCCTCATCTCTTTTCATTAGCCCCGTCCTAACAGATTGGAAACCATTCAGTGGAGATTCTACTTTCCCCTATCCCATCTGGAACTAGGCTCCCTTTTGAAAGCTTGTAAGCCAGTCACTTCTTGCCCTTATAGTCCCCCCCATTTTGGGTAGCCAATGTCTAAATTGCCCATCCCTGTCAGCCCTGTGTAACAAGGGGTAGAAGTGATCCTTGCTGTAAAGATTTGTTCCCTTTTTTGAGCTACTATATACTTAAGTAGAAGGAGCTCTGGTAGCGTAGTGGTTACGAATTGGGCTGCAAAGCACAAGGTCAGCACAAAACATGTCCAAAACCAGAAAAGAGTAACTGAGACAAATGAGCTGGAGACAGACAAAGGTTTTCCAAAAGAGAAAGAGCTGCCTTTGGATTTGCCTGAGAAGGAATTCAGAAAAAAATTATATGGAAACATTCAAATGCTCCGAAAAGGGGTGGAGGAAAATAAGGAAGAAGTCAGGAGAATACTACAGGAGCAATCAAACAAGATAAGATACAGCATTGGAAACAATTCAAAACCATTTTACAGTCCTACCAGCAGTGGCGGCGTGTCCAGGCTCTCCTCACCATTGCCAGCATCTTTTTGTTTTCTGTTTCTTTGACCTTTTTAACTTTGGTTTTAATGCTGGGGTAAGATGATATCTCTTTGTTGTTTTGATTTGCATCTCTCTAGTGGAGTCCTGGTGTGGCGCTGTGGGTTAATGTGTCAGACTGCAAAGTCGTTTGAACTGCAAGGTTGGTGGTTCAAGCTCACCAGCTGCTCCTTGGAAACCCTATGCAGGGTTGCTATGGGTTGGAATCGACTCGACGGCACTTAACAACAACAACAAGTGGCTAATGATTGGGAGCACTTCTTCATATGTTTGTTGACTGCCTAAATATCTTTGATGAAGTGTCTGTTCATGACCTGTGTCCATTTTTAAATTGGATTATTTATCTTCTTCTTATGGAGATAATGCCCTATAAATTTTAGACAGCCATCCCTTGTCATTGCCATTCCCCACCCCTCCAATCTGTGGGTTCTCTTTTTACTCTTTTAGTGAAATCTTTTGATGTACATAGTGTCTAAATTTTAGCAAGTCCCAACCATCTGTTTTGCCTTCTGTTGTTTATGTGTTTTCAGTTACGTTTGATAGTATATTTGTGCCATGAATCAGAGCCAGTTTGTCCCTATTTTTTCAATGATTGTCTTTATAGTTCTAGGCTTTACGTTGAAATGTTTAATCCATGTTGAGTTTGTTTTTTTATATGGTGTAGAGATAGAAATCTTGGTTCTGTCCTTCCTGGGGTTTGTTGAGCTTCTTGAATGCTTATCTTTTCATTTTTCAGTATGTTAGGGAAATTTTCTTCCAGAAGCTCTTCAACTATCTCCTCTGTAGACTTGTGTGATTCTTCCTATTCCAGAATGCCAATAATTCTGAAGTTATTCCTCTTCATGTTCTCCAACATGAATCTTAGACTTTCTTCAGATTTGTCTTCCAGCTTGCTAGTTCTGGCTTCCATCTCTTCAATTCTACTCCTTTGCCCTTTCAGTGTATTGTCCATTTCTGATATTTTATTGTTAATCATTTGGACCTCTTTTGCATGTTTTGAATAATTTCCAGTGCTCTTATTTGATTGTTCCTGTAGTGCTTTCCTGACTTCTTCCTTATTTTTCTGAAACCGTCTGTGAAGTGATTGGATACATCTCAGTATCATTTTCTTGAATTCCTTCTCAGGCATTTCCAAAGCCTGTCCTCCTTCCAATGTGATGTCTAGGTCTATCTCCTGCTCATTTGTTCCACTCTGTCTTATTTCTGGACATGTGCTGGTATGTTCAGCTGTTTCTTGGGCATCTTCAGTGGTTAGCTGTGACCTTAATAGTTAGATGAATGTATGTTGATATTTTATTATGCTTTCTGATTACCTCCACGTAGATGTGATCAGGTGATGGGCTTCCCTTTTCACTCTTCTTATTACTCATCTCAGAGTAACTGTAGCAGGTGTTAGCTGCCTGGTGTATAGCAGCTGATATTGGATCTTACATGGATGGTGGGATTTTATAGGGTGTGATTGTAGTTTGATGATATGTCCACAATTACTGTCTCTTCTTGAGTAACATAGGGAGAGAAAGAGATCCCTGAAGGTAAAACGGGACCAAAAAGCAAAATAGCAACAGCAAACAAAACAGATTGGATACTATAGTCTATAATCACAGAAAAGAGAAAATTAGAAAAAAAATTCTGTAGCAAAATATGAGTATGACTTTAATGTCCTTCTCTCAGCTTCTTGCCTTTAAGGCTGCCTGAGAAATTTTAAGATGTCACTGTTGGTCCTTATGACATAACTCAGGATTTAATTTTTTGGCCTGTTTCCTTTTTAGTCTGTCTGTCTCCCACTCCACAATCCCCATTCAAGCCTTTTTCCTAGTGATTTAACAGATCAGGGCCAGCTGTAGCCATTTCGGGTAGCCGTTTGGTTTTAAGAGGAACCTCTCCCCTTAAATTCTGCTGAGCAGATCTATGTGCCTACGTAGTAGAACCCTCTGGGGGTGGAGGGGTGTCCACTGCTCAGGCACCCCCTCTCATCACCAGAATGGAGGTACGCAGACAGCGAGAGACCAATAAACAGAGACCAAAAAAAGAAAAAATGTCCACACCTTTTTTTGGGTTAGATGTCTGTAGTGGTAGTGCTCCTCTAATCCTTCCCCTGCTCTGTCTTGCCCAAGATGGCTGCTCCATGAGCTGCTGAGGCTGGCTTATCAGAAAGCACCAGTTTTTTTGCTTCCACTACAAATTCCACTGGCTGTAAGCCTTCAAACTTCCTAAATATTCCTTTATATGTAGTTCAGAGTTCTGGGACTGTCGCCAGAACCTGCTTCATCCGGTATTCTGTGTTATTGCTGGTGGAGGTTTGCACTGCACTTCTCCCTAATCCACCATTAAGCCCCATCTCCTCACATGCTAATTTAGGGAAGGTAGTTTTAAAAAAAGACTTTTTCTGTTGATGAACTGAAGAAATGGAGCATAGTTGTGTTTTTTTTTTTCACACAAGTATTGGTAACTCTACATTAGTAGCAGAAAAAGTCCTTTGTATATTTTTGAGAGCTCAAAAGGAGGATAATAATTAGAGAATTTGGCTAGCATATCAGGAATAAGGGCAAATCCATTATAAAAATGCATCCAGTTTTTAATGGTACATGGTGGTGGTATGCTGTGGAATCAGTCCCAATTCATAGTGACCCTGTATAGATTTACCAGAGCAGAAAGCCTCATCTTTCTCCCGTGGAAAGACTGGTAGTTTCAAACTGCTGACCTTGAGGTGAGCAGGCCGACTTCATAACCACTACGCTACCAGAGCTCCTTTTAGTGGTGCACAAATGATTCTTTTTAGAAACTTGCTGCTTGCTGCCAAATCAATTCTGATTCATGGCGACAACCCCAAAGAAGGCTTTTATTGTGGAAACTTAGAGATTGTTTAGTTTGGCTTGATAACAAGTAGTACTCACTGGCAATGAAATTTTAAAATCCTATAAACAGAATGGTTTTAAAATGCACATTCTTTATTCAGAATAACAATATACCTGTAGTTAACTTAAACCACTAGTTAAACTATAGTCTTTATCAACTGAGGTGTCAAAAGATTGAGGTCATACTTTTTAAGTACACATTACAATCATATATTTTATTATTAAATATTGTGCTCTGAGTGAAAGTCTACATAGGAAATGAGCTTTTAAATCAGTAGTTCACACACAGATTGTTGTGTGACATTGTTGCAATCCCCCCAGTGTGTCAACACTCTCGCCGTTTCTGCCCTGGGTTCCCTGTTTCCGTTTGTCTGGTGTCCTCCCTGTCTTTTCATTTTTGGTTTTGGACAACTGTTGCCTTTTTGGTCTCATATAATTGACTGTTCTAAGGAGCACATTCTTCACAGTGTCACTGTTTGCTTTACAGTCCCGACTCTTATTTGGCAGTAAGGTGGCCCCTGGGAGTATCTTCAGCATCAAGTTAGAGGTGATCAAGGGTCATACTGTTTTTTATAATGGGTTTTGTTCATATATTAATACAATAAACATTCTTCAAAAATATTATTTTTAACAGCTGTATATTTTATGTTTTTTAATATATGATAAATATTTCTAAACTATGTTGATAGGTTATTTTGTACCTCATACCTGCTTGAAAATTTACAAATGTGTCTTCAAACAGTCTACAGTCAAAAAGTGAAGTCCCAATTTCTTCAAACTCTGGAGGACAAAAAAAACAACAACACATTTTCAGTATTTAAAATTGTTTTTCTTGTTGCTAGGTGCTGTTGAGTCAGTTCCGACTTATAATGACCTATGTACAACAGACTGCAACACTGCCCAGTCCTGCATCATCCTCTCAGCCGTCCACTGTGTCTGAGTCCACTGTAACAGCCACTGTGTCAGTCCATCTCATTGAGGACTGGAGGGTTGTTTCAATCACAAGGTCAGCGGTTCAAACTCACCAGCTGCTCCTCAGAAACACTATACAGAGTCGCTATCAGTCAAACCAACTCAATGGCACTTAACAACAACCAGTTTAACGCCAAATAAGGAAAAGTATTTATAGCAGTCATCTTTTTTAGTATTAGATAGAAACAGCATCACCAGCGAATTTGTTAGAAATGCAAATTTTTGTCCCACTTCCCAGTCTTATTCCACAGGTGAGACTCAACCATCTGCTTTAAGAAATGCCTCAGGTGATTCTGAGGCTTGCTCAAGGTTGAGAGGTCTTAGTCTAAGAAAAGAAGAAATGAATAAAATAATGTAATGCAAGAGCTTTTGGAAATGCTTTTAATTTCACTTTCCAGTTTTGTCCTATAGAAAATAACCTTAAATAAGCAAAGATTTTATATTGCTGTCTACATTATAGACTGTCAAACTTTTCGCTGTAAAATATAAATACAGCAATTAAGATTATGATGTAAAAAGTATAAATAGTTATTTATCTGTCCATAGAAATGGAACTTTGGCTTCTTGAAGAGTTCTTTATGGAAGTTCTTATTTTCCTAAACCAAACAACAATTAAAACATTATTTTTCCTTCTATACTTTAAACTTTAAGTTAGCATTATTTTTTAAAATACACTTGGTTTATTAAGGAATAGAATTTGCGTCAAATCAAAGCTGTTACAGAACTTTGAATTTTAGCAGTAAGTATGCCAAGTGGTGAGTGGGAGCAGGTATGTGATCGATCAAATGTAGTTTTGAACACACCCATCTCGTACTGGTCAGCCTCATTTATACACCTCTAGAATGTAACCAAAACTTTCAGGATATTTTTACTAATTTAATGAGTTCTTAATTTGCTCATATCCTGTTGAGTTATAAATGACAACATATCTGACACAATGCTTTTCTTTAAGAATGAAATAAAGAAGGAAGAGCAAAAAGAAAGTGTGTGGGAAAAAATAGGTACTTTCTGTTTCAGTTTTGTGTTGTTTTACATATGGGTCTGTGAGTAGACTTGTAGAAGTACTGATATTTTTAGTACCTGATTCTGAAGTAGTCTCATTCATGAGTCTTTCCTGAATCAAATGAAGCTTGTCTAATATTTCTTCAAATAAGTCATTAAGAAGTCCTGCTTCCTTACATTTCTTTAGAAAAGATGCTTTCAAAACTACATCTAGGAACAAGAAAAACATTTTAGAAAGAAAAGGTCTGTTTGAGATCAGTTATTACTAATCACTTTACAGTCATTCTGTCTCATTAATTGGAGTCCTGGTGTGGTGCTGCTGGATAAGTACTGGATCCCAAGGTCGGTTTGAACCGCAAAGTTGGTGGTTCAAACTCACCAACAGTTCCTCGGAGAGCCTACACAGGCTTGCTGTGAATCAGAACCAACACGTGGATGTGCATAATTAGTAGGATAAAACAGATTGCAGCTTTATCTTTTTTAGTAATTGTAATTCATCATATCCTATTTTTTCCCCAGCTAAACATAATGAAAAAGAAAACTTCTCTGCTTGGACTAACTGAATCAAGAGGATTTTCAGTTTTGTTTTAAATCTTACAAATGACAGCCCAACGGTTTTTCTGTTACAGTTACTGTGACGTTGGTATGTTGTGTTGTGCTATACTCTTTCTAATGAAAACTATAATTACTGGCTTCTACTTTGTGGAGAATCATCATGTGAATCACTGGATTCTGAGCTTGGGCAACTCTGAATTCTGTTATATTATAAAGCATATGCTTTCTTATCACTGAAGAGCAGTAGACTATCCCAACTCAAGTTATTTTGATATGCTAAGTTTATGGTAGACCAGGCAGTTATAATAAGGAATTTTACTCTCACTAATTGCTGCTAGTCTATAGTAAAAGTTAAATTACAATACCAATATGATGGTCAGTTATATATCAACTTAGCTAGGCTACTGCTGTTGTAGTTAAATGTCAAGTTGGTTCTAACTCATAACACCACCATATAGGGTTTCCAAGGAGTGGATGGTGAGTTTGAACCATGGACCTTGTGGTTCAAACTGACTATAGTAACCAGCTATTCAGTTCAACACTTAGCATGCCCTTTGAGACCCAGCAGGCCATGGTCCCACCCTTTGAGACCTTAGAGGTCTTAACTACCCTTTCCAACAGAGGCAGCTCTGCTTCTTATGCTTCTTGTCTCTTCAGCTCTGCTTTCTGCTTCTTAGCATCTCAGGCCCTCAGGCCTCTTGGGCCAGCCTGGGCTTTGTCCTTCTTAGGAAAGTATTATAAAACTCTTTAGCTCTACTGATAAGTATTTGAAGGCACCCCACCCTGCCAGTAAGCCTTGATCCAAGATGCTCAGCTCTCTTTCTCTGGGTGGACTTTTTCATCATCTCATGCGGATCTCCTGGTTCTGCTGACCCCATGTCTCCACCACTGCTTCTCTCCAACTCCTGTGTTACAGCTCTGTCAGCTCACAACTGAGGAGCAATGTCCTTGTCTCCTTTTAGTATCTGTGGGCCTGGTCTTCCATGGAGATCTCTATGTGTCTTAGCATCAGTCTTCCTCTGGGTCTATCAAGTTTTCAGTGCAGGGATCCCAGAACCAAAGGACACTTGGCACCCAGCTCTTGTTTCTTAGGGGTAATCTGGTCCCTCTTTGCTTACTTGTGTATTCTTTTTTATATCTCAAAATAGATTGACTAAAGATACAACATAATTCTGTATATTGTATCCTGCCTCATTAACGTAACTACCTCTAATTCTGCCTCACAAACATCACAGTTAGGATTTATAGTACATAGAATAGTTACATCAGATCACAAAATGGAAGATAATTACATAATATGGAGTCATGGTCTAGTCAGGTTGACACATACTTTGGGGCAGGGGACACATAATACCTACCTAGGTGTTACTGACAAAGTAATTTGTAGATGTGATTAATAGCTACTATCAATTAATTTTAATGAGGCTATTCTAATCAGGGTGTGCCTGACTGAAAAATCAGTGGAAAGGCCTTAAGAAAATAATTGAGTTTCCCATGAGGAAAACAAAATGTATACCTGTGGACTGCAATTTTGGCTCTTGCCCAAAAGTTTTCACCTGCCCTTTCTGACAGTCTATTGTTGGACTTGCCTAGGCAGCTCTTACAGCCAATTCCTGACAATCAATCTTTCTCTCTCTGTATATACATATCCTACTTGTTCTGTTTCCCTGATGGAACAACAACTTTTTTTATTTATACTGGGAAGCTAGGTGCTGGTGTATCAAGTATCTAAAAATTGGAAGAGGACTTGGAAATGGACAAGGGGTAGAGGCTGAAAGAATTTTGAGAAGCATAACAGAAAAAGCCTAGATTAACTTGAAGAGGTTGTTGGCAGAAATATGGACATTAAAGTACTTCTGGGGGGCAGGGCATGATGGTGGACTACACAGAAAAGCTGTGCAGCTCTTCAGCAAAGATACAGTAAATCAGATGAAACCAATTCAGAGGATGGTCCTGGAACTCTGAGTTTCAGATAAAGGGATAAATAAGTGGATCGAGTACTCACCGGGAGACAAGAGTTTAAACAGATGCAAGAAAAATGACTTCTGATTTTGGGGTGGCTGTTGTAACCCACTGCAACCATTTTGAAAGGGTGTGAGAGAGGATTGAGAGACAAGAAAACATTACATCCCAGAAGCCTGCCTGTGACTTGCAGAGACAAAGGTACAATTTCCCCCGCTCTTTCTACTCATTTCCTCTCTGGTGACGAGAGGTGAGACCTGTTTGAGTAGACTCCCCAAAGAAAGGTCCCATGCAGACCCCCTGGCTGGGCACATCATTGAAGAGAGAGGGGACAACAGAAATGACCTGCACCAGCAGGCTCTACTCCAAATTGTTCCTGGCCAGCCCTTAGTTAGCTCCTACTTGGAGAAGCAGCTGAACGGACTAAAAGGAAAGAAAAAGTAAAGGCTGTTGATAGGGGAGAGAGGTACAGCGGGACCATCTTGAAGTTTCTCAGGCAACTATGAAGGCAAGAGTCCATAAAGTGGTGCTACAGAATTATTCTTAATTTCCCACTGCTGTATCCTGGTGGTTTTTTATTTTGTTTTATTTTTTTCCCCAGGTATACTGGTTTCATATTGGTTATTTCTGATTTTGTTTTTTAGTTTTGTTTCTTTGTCTTCCTCTTCTCTTGTGGGAGTGTTTTCTCTTCTTGCCTTACCCGACAGGAGATAACAACTCTGGTCATACAGCCAAGCCACAGCTGTACCCTCTACAACCCACCAAATGGGAAAGAGCCAATACAAGCTGCTATACACTAGAGCAGCAACTATAACCAACATCTGCTAAATCCACTCTGAATTGGAGCATGAACAAAGAAGCTCATCTCCTGATCACATCCACCAGGAGGCAATTAGTGTCTAAGAATACACCAACATATATTTATCAACTTAATACAAATAACACAACAGTGCCTAGAAAGCACCAGAAAATTTCTGTTCACATGAAGAAACATGACAGACTAGCTCAAACAAATGACTAAGATACAGAGTTATAAAATGTTTGAGGAAGAAGAAGCACTGAAAGAGATTTCAGGAGAATATTGATATACAGCCAAATGTTTCAGGAAGGGTTGAGGAAAACAAGGAAGAATTCAGAAAAGCACTACAGGAACAATCAGACAAAATAGATATAGCATTGGAGACAATACAAAACCTGAAGACATAAATCCAGAAGATCATCATTAATATATAGGTAAAAGACAAAACACTGAAAGGACAAAGGAGTATAATTGAATCAGTGGAAGCCAGAATTACTGAGCTTGAAGAAAAATTTCTCAATACTAGTAAGAGAGAAGAATAATCAGAAAGAGAATGAAAAAATCTGAATAAATCCTAAGATTCATAAGGGACAACATGAAGAGGAATAATGTATGGATGATTGGAATTCCAGAACAGGAAGAGAGAAAATCACACAAAAAAATGGTCAAAGAACTGCTGAAACAAAATGTACCTAGCATCATGAAAGAAGAGATGATAAGCATTCAAGAAGCGTAACAAACCCCAGGCAGGAGAAACTGCAAAACAAAATCAACAAGACATATCATAACCAAACGCTCTAAAATCAAACACACAGAGACAATCCTGACAGCATCTCAGGAAAAAAAATGTTACTTATAAAGGAAAACCAATTAAGATTAAGCTCTGATTTTTCAGCAGAAACCATTCAGGCAAGAAGGCAATGGGGAGACATATATAAAACTCTGAAAGAGAAAAAACTGCCAATGAAGAATCATATACCCAGCAAAGTTGTCCATTAAATATGATACAATTAGAACATTTCTGGCTAAAAGTACTTTGTAAAAGCCAAGTCAACTCTCCAATATATACTACAGGGAATTCTTTGGACTGAGAATTAACAAGAGCAGACAATAACCAGAGATTAACATACATGGCAACACCACCCAGAATTCCATCCAGATATGGAAGTGTTCAGAATAGAATACAATTACAAGACTGAAAATAGGGTACCCCAGGATTTTAGTCTATGATCAGGACAACTACAAAGCGAAGGGAGGGAAAGTATATTTACAGAGTTCCAGGTAGTGAGGAGCTCAGGTCAGGTAGATTTCAAGATAAAATAGACTTTTTAAATGGGGAAGAAATTAATAAAATATATGGTAGTCCCAAAAAAACTTAATACAACCCCTCTCTAAGACTGAAACTCAAAGGGAACACATAAGCAGTCATGTAAGCTTGCTGGTGACCACATTGGTCTACTGGTGAGAGGAAGAGGGTGAAAGACAGCAATGAAGAAATGGGCTGTGTTCAACTATATTCCATAAACTTCCGTTGACCTGGAGATGAGAAAGAGAGAGAAGAGGAAGGACTGGTTGGTCCAATATGTGGTGAGACGTTGGGAACCTGAGCGCATGGACAAGGACATAGCCACGGAGGGCTAGAGCTGCGAGTAAAGCATCCAGCTGATATGAAGTGAGGGGAGATATATAAGAGCACCCAAACTTACAGACAGTACTCATTTAACCTAGCCTCAATGTCTTGATAATCAGAACTCAACTAGAGGACGATAAAAAAAATTTTTTTTTTTAATAAAGGAAACTAGGGTAAATTGCTACAATTTGATGAACTTGACCTATACTCATGGAGGCAGTAGCTCAAAATACCAACAGAGAGGGAAGGAGTCTTCATATCAAG